AAAAAAAAAAATTGATAGCTAACTTATTGAGCACATAGTTGCACAGCAGACCTTGTGCTAATATACACTTTATATCCATTATTTTATTTGATTAACGCAACTGTGGGTGCTGATTTTTTAACTTATTATATAATAATTATTTTATTATTTTAGCATATGGTCTTCATAATCATCTTTTTCATGGCACAATAATATTCCACCCAATGGATTATCGATCTTTCCCCCAAATTATTCGACTTTTAAGTTGTTTTCCAGATTTTGCTGTTATAAAGAATACTGGGATGATATACTTTCCCCCAGAGCAGTTCCCTGAAGTTTCTGCTCTTAGGGTAAATTTCCAGAGGTAGGATCACTGGGTCAAAGAGTATAAACATGTGTTGCTTTCTTAAATTGTCCAGAGGGCACTTATGCATTCATTGTTTGTAATGTGATATGATGCCTCTAGCAACTCTGACGTAGGCAGGAGAGACAGATTCACTGCCATTTTATAGATATGACTATTGGGAGGTAAGTTCCCAAGGTCACACAGTTGGGGGAAGAGCCAGAATTAAAATGCATGTTTCCCAACTCTCTCTTGATTTCTCTTCTAAGCAGGACCCCCAAATGAAATGAAACTCAGGCTGGACTGTGCCTGCCACTTTCTCTCCCAGACATCTTAGTTTTGACCTAGTGGGGCTTCTCTGTCATGGGACCATTTCCTTTCACTGAGGGCCATTCTGCTTTAGGGGGAAGGTAAGACCTCTCTAGCAGCCCAAGGACCACTTCGTGGGCTATAAAATCTTCTACTAAGGCTAAGGAGGGGAAAGGGTGGGGCAGAGGAAAGAGCATGAGGAAACAAAGGGTACTAAATTAGAATATGGGACTGGAGTCAAGAGAAGGTGCACAAGGAACAAACAGGAAAAAAAACCTGTGATTTTGGGGGATCTTCATGCTTAAGACTAGGTATTTGAGCTGAAAACACTAAAGAGATTTGACTTAGGGCATGTTAGGGTCATGGTATGGCCTCTCTGTACTCAACTGTACTGTACCCAGGACTGTCTTGAACTGTTAAATCTACTTCTTGATAGCAATACGCTTTCTCAGGATAGAAACTAAACAATAATTTGTGCTTTTTCTTTTCAAATGAATGATAAAAAGTAACTTCAAATATGTATTTTTCAACCACAGAAGAAAGTGAGTCCTGCTTTGTCCAACCAAAACCACGTACACTGGGAAGAGAATCTACTTTATATGGCAAGGTACAAAACGAAAGCCTTCCTCAACTAGAGAAGCTCAAGATTTCAGCCGTGTCTACAGCTAATGGTGTTAAATCCCTCCATGAACAGCCCCTGGCAAAGGATGCTGCAGACCCACCAGGATCCACAGAGGAAACTCAGCCTCTTAAGGGACTGAAGGAGTCTGGGTCACCTCAGCCAGGTGGCAAAGATGATACTCCAGGAGGAGGAGAAAAGAAGGACGTGGAAGCAGGGACAGAGGCTCAGCCTTTTAAAGGAAACGCTGAGACCGAAGCTTTAGGAGCAGAAGCCAAGAGTCAACCTTTGAGGACAGTGGGAGAGAGGGACTCTCCTGGAGCAGTGGAAGGTCCTGAGAATCCACAAGCTGCCGGAGAGATGACACCCCTAGGAACAGCTGAGAAAATTCCACCTCTGGAAGCAGCTAGAGAGCTGCAATCTCAAGAAGCTATGGGGACGGATGAACAGTCCCATCTCCCAGAAACAGTTCCCAAGGAGACGGAATCTCCAGAAATATTGGAAGGAAGTCAGCTTGTGGAAACAGCTGAAAAGCAGCAACTTCAAGAAACACTGGGAGAAGATGACCGGTCCCAACTTCTAGAGATGATTCCCAGAGAGAATGGAACACCAGAAGTATCAGACAGAAGCCAGCTTATGGAAACAGCTGTCAAGGATGATTCGCTCCATAAAACTCCTGAAGGTCCAGGAAACATGGAGCAGATCCAACCTGAAAGAATAGTTGGAAACATGGAACATCCAGCAGGAA